TGCCCAGGCGATTTTTCGCGGGTTTTTTTCTTGGCGGGAAAAGGGTTCTCAGTTTGTCCTCGCAGTTGAAATAAAACGAATCAACGGTCAGGGAGGGGGCTGGGCTCCGAGTCACGTGGCCTGGCTCTGGGCTTTGCGGGGTGGCGTCCCTGACTGAGGGAAGCAAGCGGCAGGTGCCACCTCGGGGTCGTAGAGCAGGCGTCGGTCACTGATGCCCCTTGTTTTAAACAGGAATTGGGGCTTGTGGACAGTTAGACACGGAAGTCAATGGCAGCCCCTGGCGGCGTGACTGGAAAACAATAGGGAGGTAGTTTAGCGTGTTAGGCTGCAGTCAGTCAGCGGGCAGTGTAGGTGTGCACACCTACCTACAGACTAACTCAGTAAGAGGTATCTCCAGAGCACAAGCTTTGGTGAACCAAATGTTCCCTTATGAGATGTTCATAGCTCCCAATGAAGGGTAATGTGGGTTCACCAAAGTATGTGCTCTATGTATCTTATTTAAGGATGTCTACAGTGGTGCATATCTACCCTCTCTTCTGGAAAATAAGAGCCAAGCAAGCTGCCCTGCGCAAGGAAAGATTCATCATCCTCCATTCCCCTGTGAATCAATCACCATAAATCTCAAGGCAACCCAGAGGAGGAAGGTCCCCAGGGGCCTGACCCTGCTGTCAAAAAAAAAGAGAGGCAACATTTCTGTCTGCTTTAATCGCAGTTGTGGCATCAAGCACAATTTATGTATTTAAGCCAGTCTCTTTCTCACACCGATATGTAAATAATGCCATACTTTCCTTTATCTAAGTGGGAAATATGGGATGTGCCCCTTCATTTCTGTTTGGGCATGCGTTCACCAGACAACACTAGGACAAGAGGTTGTTTGGGGGCGGGGAGGAGTTCTGCTGTTTTAATTCCCTTTTAAATTGGTTTTGCCCTCTTGTTCTGCTTTTAAGTTATTCTGATCTCTTGTTATAAGTCACTGTGAGCCTTTGTTGGGAAGGGTGGCATATAAATCAAATATATACACTGAAGACATCCTGTGAAGTGTGGGGCAATCAGCAGTGGTAATACCCATGCATTCATGTTTCTTCTCAAAACTACCCACCTGTGCACTTACCTACGTGCTGTCTCAGGCTTTTGTCTGCTCCCACCTTCCTCTCTATTTATTTCTGTTTTGCTCCCTAATCCTGGAACTCTCCTTATCTCAGTTTACCAAGCAAACAACCCATATCATGCACATTTAAGAAAAGATACACCTTAAAATAAATTAGCTAGCAGGATGCATTTTGTGTCTAATGTGTGGAGTTGCTCTGTTTAAAATTTTAGGGATAACTAGAATGGTGTGGTGAAGCTTTATGTTGCCTCATTAGGAGCAGTGAAAGGCTCCTTAGTGAAAAGGGGGAATATGAATGTTGCTATATGATTCTGAAGGGTGCAGAATAGTTCCACATCTCCCACTGGAGCAAAAACATTGCCCTGGCTCTCCCTGCTTTTTCTTCCCTATAGAATAACATGTGGCCAAAAGGGAGTCTTTGGACTTTTTGGTTATGCAACAAATGCAGAATCATGCATTTCAGGACAGAGAAGAAATTAATTCTTAAAAAAAAAAAGTGGGGAAGGAGGTTGTAACATCCCTAATATTTCGTACCTTTGTTTTTGTCTTCTTCCAATATCTGGCATGACAAGATTGTTAAAGTCTCTTTAGGTTGATCTGGAAAGTCCTGTCACTAACTTCTCTTTTTCCAAATCTGCTAGGTTGGTAGCAAGGAGAACTTCTTCCAGAAATATGAAGAATAGGCTATAAGTGAATATCAATCTTATGGCTGAAGTCATTAGATCCACACACAGTAGAAATAGTCTTTTATGTAAAAATTCAAATAGCCTAATTAGGATATTTTTTCCAAGCATACATTCTTTTTCTTGTCATTATTTCATTGTTATCAGCTTTTCTTAAAATATTCATACTTTTTACTGACAGAGAATTGGATTGCTAATAGAAGATAACACCTTACTCTAATGATTCATTTTTAAATTTCTATCAGAACAAATTCAATTTATAATTTAAGTTTTTCCCAGGCCAAACTCAAATCTGGATCCATGTCCCTTGCAAGGGATGAGGTCCATTTGGAACCTGCTAAAAATCATTCTGGCAAGAGTCGGTGATCTCAAAATAACACAACAGGTACTCTCATTTATTTGGGTGCCAAGTACTACTGCAACACATCCAGCCCCAATTAACTCAGGCAATGAAGGACCAATCTTAGAATCTGAATTTAGATCCTTTGGTGATTATACATTGAGAAGCTGCATTGTTAGGAGAGGATATTTTTTAAAAGTATAACCATATAATCCATAAAACCTTCTTTTGGCAGACTCTTAGCAGGTTAAATTTTGGGGTACAGTTCTGGGTTTTGTTTAGAGAGTTGTTTTATTACTTACTAGTTTATCTTAATATTATTTGCTTTTATAATTTACCTTGTTTTTATTGTAAGCCACTCAGCCTTTTTGGGGAGGACAGCTTATCAATAAAATATATTAATAAATAAATAAATAATCGCTTTACCTGTTTCCACCATAATACTGTATTTGTTTGCTTTTTTCAGTACTGACTAAGCCTTATTGATTGCTTTTTCGCTATGAAAGCCATGGAAGATCAGGTGGTACAGGAAGAACCAGGATACCAGGATGATGAGGTATTTATAAATAGCATAAAATATGTATAACATAACAAATGCTGGCAAAGGGCATCACACAGAATGGTATGTAGTTCAGCAGAATATCCTTGGTGCAGGGGAGCAATCACCAAAGACATGTAGTTGGCATTGAAAATGTTATTACAATTGAAAGCAAAGGAAACCTCATTTCCTTACTTTCTTATCAATCTTATCCTTATCTTGGTCCTTATTTTCTATTAACCTCTTGAAGCACATACAGAGATTAATTATATAGGCTGGTCATTATTATAATTGATACACTGTTTACTATTTTATAGAAAATGTAAGTGGATTATGAAACCTTTTATCTTACATTAAAAAGTCATCAACCTGAAACATAGTAGAGAAGAAGAGAAACACAATACAGGTTTTCTTAGTAGGGTTCCTGAGCATGATTCAGGGTTTTTTTTTATCTAGATCAGTGGTTCTCACCCTATTTTAGATTTAAGGGCCCACCTGTTAGACTCAAGGCACTCCTCAGAAAATGCAAGCTCCTAGCTTTCACTCATTTCTTGATTACAGAAAAATAAGAGAGCAATTCTTTTGTTGCAAAGAACTCAAACATTATGAATGTTTCAGTATGTTTTTGACACTATGGATTCTTATTTGAAATCTCTGGGCTTATCTTGTGGATCATATGTCGGTGTTTCCATACCTAATAGTGCTAATAATTAAGCAGCATTCCATGGCACACTTGAAAAGATTTTATAAAACCCTGATTGAGAATCTCTGATCTAGCTGGTTACACAGTATGAAGCAAAAGTCAAACCTGAACCTTGCACCCCATCAAGCCTGTGAGGTTAAGGCACACAAGGAAGAAGTGATTTAGCTAAAATCACATGTGTCTGCCTTTAACTCTGTCCCAAAGAACCATGTATACTAGTCATGTACAGCTGGAGGTAAACTTCAGCATAAATCTGAAGCAAGGTTTAAATTCCATGCCTCCGGATCTGTAGCAAAACACCATAACCACTCTGGGCACCTATATATGTGCAGATAGGCTGCTCCAATGCACTGTAATTATTTCATAGAAGACTTGATTAACCAAGTCTGCTGGAGCGTGGTAATTACTGTGCTTCAGCAGACTCCAGCGTCACATGTATCAGCATACCTGAGCTGAAAAATGGTGGCAGGGTCGCTTTAACTAAAGCTCGTTGAACAAGCTTTAACTAAAAGCGCCCCCACTGCCATTTTTCAGCATAGGGACACTGATACATGTGATGCTGGAGTCTGTTGGAGTATGGTAATTGCCACACTCCTGCAGACTCGATTAAACAAGTCTGCTCTGACATGCTGTAATTACAGCGCATTGGAGCAGCCTCTCTGCATGTGTATAGGTGCCCTTGGAGCTACTCTAATTAAAGCACACCCCCAAACCCTCAGCATGTCTATAAACAACCTCTGTTACTGTATCTCGATTGTCTACACAGGTAATAGGACATGCCTAAAACTTCTTGGCTCACTCTTTGCCAAGGATTTAAAACTGACACTTACTACTGAATTAGGCAGTTAGCAAAAGTAATATAGAGGTGGTTACAAGAATTCTATCTTAAGATTCTGCTTTCCTCCCTTCTCTGCCGCTTTAGGAATCCTTTTTTCAAGATATTGACCTGTTACAGAAGCATGGAATTGTAAGTATAAGTAATAGCCCTACCATGCAGAACTGTCCAGGTAAGGTTATTTTAGGGGTGCTTTCAACAGCATTTATCCTTAATGACATTAATACTTTAAGTTCCTCCCCATGACAGCTACTGAGGAAGAAATGTGTTGGGGACAAGTTTTGTCTTTGCTGGTTTGGATATAAAAGTCCAGATTTTCAAAAGAACCAGCTCCCAGATGGGCACCTAAATAAAGTGACAATTTACAGAAGTTCTTTATGCCAACAGTTCTTAAAACCTGCTCAGCTTTGGAAAATCTTGTGATAGATTACGTTCTGCACCAGCCAGTCATTATCTATAATTATTCCAATGTTTCCTGAGGCCCCTCACATAATATATGATGAGGCTTTTTGTTATGCTATTCTTGGAATGCTGGTGAAGTGGGGGAGGGAGATATGCCTTAGAAATTGGGGAAATTATTTTCTTCTTTCTGAAATATCCCCCAATAAATCATCATAATTACTTCTTTGTATTTTTGTAGCATCTACAAACAAGCCCCTAGTCAGAGACAAGGACCTCAAATGTTATATTAAACATAATACAAAAAGATTGTCTCTTCCCCTAAGAACTTAAAATCTAAGTCTAAAATAACAGGCAGCAGATGGATACAGACAGATACGGGAGGACAAGGAAACAGTGAGACAATATTAGTCATCAGGCAGTGGTCTCAGAACATCTGCAGCAAAAACACTGCCAAATTTTGTAGGCATCATATCAAAGGAGTTTTAAGGAGGGATTTGAAGAAGGATGATGTGGTTTCCTTGTGAAAAGTATAAGGGAACTCCACCCAAGAGTGAAGGGCAACATGTAAGAAAGCAAAAAGTTCTTATTTGAAAATTCAACAAGTAGGTAATAGAGGCTGAGATCATGGTCTGATTGGAGGCTACTGTCAACCTAAATATGGCTAGACAGTTGATAGGAGGGGAGAGGAGCTAGGTTGTGAAGGGCTTTGAAAATTAAGACAGTTATCATAGGTTGGATGCACTAGAAAGGGAGAGAGTGCAGAGGAGGCATGATCAAAATGTGGAGCTGGTAAAATGGGTGTAGGTTGTAGCCGTGTTGGTCTAAGGACATAGACAGACAAGGTTCCTTGCGTGAATTTGATATCTTTTATTAGACCAACCCAAATGGTTGGAGAATAGTTATTAAGCAAGCTTGCGGGTTCAAAAACCCTTCGTCAGGCTAAGGAAGTTTCAGCAGTTGGTGTGTGCTCTTCCTGGATGGAATGAAAAGTAAAGAAGCCAGAAGCAACTGACTCCCCAGCCCAGCTTCTGGCTTCTTTACTTTTCATTCCATCCAGGAAGAGCACACACCAACTGCTGAAACTTCCTTAGCCTGACGAAGGGTTTTTGAACCCAAAAGCTTGCTTAATAACTATTCTCCAACTATTTGGGTTGGTCTAATAAAAGATATCAAATTCACCCAAGGAACCTTGTCTGAGCTGGTAAAATTATATTTGTTGAAGTCTATTCTTCTCACACAATGGATAAAACCCCCTCAGTGACTTATATTAAACTAGTGTTTATTATGCCCCTTTGGGAGTATGAATACATTTGTAATTGTAACTGGTTTTGTCTCACACTTATCTTTGTCACAATAATGCTAACAAGACGTATTACAGGAGAAGATATAAATGTCCCATGGAAATGATTAATTTCTTCATTATTCTTTTGAATACTAGTTGTACCCATAACCCTGTACATAACTGGACAACAAATCCAGATCATGATTTTACCACAAAAAGGATCTTGGCTGGATGTGATAGCTTGAAACAGCATTCAATAGATCTGTCCATGCTGTTTTCTTCTAAGTAATCTATTGCACAGCCATTGTTCTGTTAAATTTTCAGAAACAGTTCATTCATTCCACCTAGCCATAATATCTGGCAATGTGCCAGACATATTCTCCTTTGGATATACATGGAACATATAGAAGCAATAAAACAATTGCATTTACTTTTTTCTTAGGGAAAATTGGCTAGGGGGCCACACCTAGAGAGTGGTGATGGATGGGTGGTGGATTCGACCTGGAGGAAGGTGGGCAGTGGAGTCCCCAGGGCTCGGTCCTTGGGCCCATACTGTTCAATTTCTTTATCAGTGATTTGGATGAGGAGGTGAAAAGCACCCTGTTCAAATTTGCTGACGACACCAAGATTTGGGGCGAGGTGGGCATGCTAGAAGGGAGGGACAGGATACAACTGGACCTGGACAGGTTACAGAGGTGGGCAAATGTGAATAGGATTGGATTCAATACTGACAAGTGCAGGGTACTGCACTTGGGCAGGAAGAATCAGCAGCATAGCTATAGGTTGGGGAACTCCCTTCTTGAAAGCACAGTGGCAGGAAGAGGTCTTGGAGTCATTATCGATTCTAAAATTAACATGGGCCGCCAATGTGAGGATGCGGTCAGTAAGGCTACCCGCATCTTGTCATGTATCCACAGATGCATCACGAGCAGGACCAAGGAGGTGATCCTCCCCCTCTATGCGACACTGGTCAGGCCACAGTTGGAGTACTGTGTCCAGCTCTGGGTGCTGCACTTCAGGAGGGATGTGGCCAGCATCAAGAGGGTCCAGAGGAGGACCACTCACATGATCAGGGGGCAGCAGGCAGACCCTACGAGGAGAGGCTTAGGGATCTGAACCTCTTCACAAGAGAAGGCTGAGAAGGGATCTACTGGCTGTCTATAAATTTACCAGGGGGGACCAGAGAGGAATGGGTGAGACCCTGTTTCCCCAAGCACCTCCCAGAGTAACAAGGAATAATGGCACAAGTTGACTGAGAGTAGGTTCAGGCTAGACACCAGGAGGCACTTCTTCACAGTCAGGATGGCCAGGATCTGGAACCAGCTTCCAAGGGAAGTGGTGCTGGCTCCTACCTTAGGGGTCTTTAAAAGGAGGCTTGATAACTATCTAGCTGGGGTCATATGAGTTTAAACTTAGTAGGGGTCATATGAGCCCAGTATTCATTCCTGCCCAGGGCAGGGGTCAGACTTGATGATTTGCTCAGGTCCCCTCTGACCCTACATCTATGAATCTCTGAATCTATAAATATATGGAGGGGTGGATCCAGGAGGAGGTGGGAACTGGTGCAGTTGCAATCTGCTTTGATTCCTACTTCACCCAAAGTTTAAAACCAACTGCCTGGCAGTGGCAGCAGCATTTCTGTTCAGGCAGCAGTGAGAGCATCAATTGAATTTATGGCTCATTAAAACCTACCTGACTCCTCTTAAACTCTTCATCCCACTCTCCAATAATGTAGCTCCTATTTCACATCCCTGTTTTTAACTAATTCCAAAAAAGTTATATTTGTTTTTGCTTCAATTTTAAACAGAATAATACAGCCCTAGGCCTCCAGCATATCAGTAAAGCTTCTAGTTTCTTCTTACCTGGAGAAAAATGTATCTTGTGTTATAAGGAATGATGTACTACAACATCTACAACCCCATTTTCAAAATCCTAGATCCATCCATAAATATAAGTATACATGTGGATGTACAGTGTAACTGAGCTTCAGGAACTTTTACTTCCTAGAGATACATTTCATGAGATAGTGTTGACAGAATGTAAATTTTCTTCACAGAATGTAGCTGATATTAAAAAACTGAAATCAGTGGGAATCTGCACTATCAAAGGGATCCAGATGACAACCAGGCGGGCATTGTGCAATGTGAAAGGGCTTTCAGAGGCCAAAGTGGATAAGATCAAAGAAGCAGCCAACAAGCTTATTGTAAGCAAATCCGACTCCTAACAGTTTCAACTTAGAATGCCACTCTTAAGATCCTTTGGAGAATGTCCCTTCAAGGAATCCTTTGCAGGCATTAAACAATTTTACTAATATGATTGTGCCCATTAGTCTAAGGTCAGAGATACTACATTGTAGTCAGCAGCAGCCAAAGTGTGGTGACCCCTGGTATGTTCAGTAAGGTAAGTGAGGTCAGCAGGAGAGAGAGAACTGACTGAAGATATTGCATTTTTCCTTGAGGTTCAGGTCAAACTAAATAATCCCTTTGTATTTCCTTTGGTGTTCCCTAGGAACCGGGATTCCTGACTGCCTTTGAATACAGTGAAAAGCGGAAGATGGTATTTCACATCACCACAGGGAGCCAAGATTTTGAGTATGTGTATCTTTTCTGGCCTTGAACAGACACAACGTTTGTAGTGCTCTAAACTGGAAGTGTGCAGATATGCATGGTCAAAGAAGTGCTTAAAACAGTCCTCAAGAAAGGAGGAACATCTTTGAAGCACTTTCTTTGGAACTGCTTCTTGAAAAATCTGTAGAGCCCACAGAGCACAGCAGAGGGCTGCTAAGTCCCCTGGCGTCCCACAGTAGTCTGTTCCCCCTGCCTCCTGCCCCCACAAACATGGAGCGATCAGGGCAGTCAGCCAGTGAACACTTTCCTGTGCTAGAGAACATGAATCCCTGCCTGTTTCTTGGCCTCTGGTTTCCCAAGGGCAAACGCCTCTTGGCTTCTGTTCTCTGTCTATGAGAACAGAGGCCAAGAGGCATTCGGGGATTCCTGCCCTAAGAGAAGGATTTCTTGCTTGCCACTTTGGCTACTGAGGATCACTGAGCGCACAGGAGAGCATTGTTTGTCCAACCACTTTTGCCCACCCCACCCCACTCCAAGAACTAGGAATAGTCGAGTCAAGTCAGTCCCTAGGCCGCTTCAACCATTGGGGCACCTTAGATGCTGTAACAACCTTACTCCACTCCACCCTGTGTTTGGATGCAGTTGTTGTAGACCTGGGCCTCAACTGATCTGGTATGAGGTTAGTTGAGTTGCTTTGTATCACTGGTGATTCTTCGGGAAAGGTGACCTGGCAGTGCCCATCTCTCTGGGTATGGATGGCCATTGGCTCGCAGGGAGCTCATCTACCCTTTTAGTCCTGCTGGGTGTCCACACACCCTCCTCACCCAGGCTAGCCCAGGTGGGGGCACCAGTTTAGTTGCCGACAACGAGACCATGGAACAGGCTGTACTGGTTTACATAGTACCAGACAGCAGACCAAGAAAGGCCTGGCCTGACATGACTGGGGATATTGAGGGTCCAAATAACCCCTACTGCATCCCCTGACTGGATAACACCAATGTTGCATGCTGTCACAACAGTTTTGAAGATCTGTGGCAGGGTGAATTATTGGGGATCTCTGGCAGGGTGCATACACTGAAGTGCTATGAATCTGAATGGTTCTAAAATGGAGTGGAATTTGGAGTTCTTCAAATATACATCTGTATAGCCTCTATCTAATCCATACCTATCCTCTAATTAAAGTGCCTGGAGCATCTCATGTATCAGCATACCTGCACTTAAAAATGGCAGCGGGGGTGCTTTATCTTAAGCTTGTTGAATGAACTTTAGATAAAGTGCCCCCACCACCATTTTTAAGCACAAGGATGCTGTTACACAAGAGGCTGGAGGTTGCTGGAGCGTGGTAATTACCTTGTACCAGCAAACTCGATTAATTGAGTCTGCTCTGACGCACTGCGATTACAGCACATTGGAGCAGCCTTGCTGATCGTGTATAGATGCTCAGTGAGATTACCTTCAAGAAAGCAAGTGGAAGTCAGTCACCTAACCTTTATCTGAGCAAGGCACAATGGCACAATTATTAAAAGCCTGATTCCCACTTATCTTATAGCCTCCATTTTTGCTACCATTTGGGTGTGTCTACATGTGCCCCTATAGCTCCATTATTACTGCATTGTCATTTGGTACTTCCTTTTGGAAGTACTAAATGATGGTGCAGTACCAGCCATTACTGTGCTGTGCAAGAAGCACATGGTTGTTTTTAGCCTCTACGTCATTATAGCACCACGCTATACCTGGGAAACACGTCACTTTGGTGATGATGAAATCCCGAAGTTTCAATTATGGGAATGAAGAAAGTCTACTATCCAAAATCAGACCTGTTCAGTTGTTCTGGAACATCCTAAGAGAATAGAATTGTGAGGGGAATTTTGTTAAGTCACCTTTCCAGAAATGATGCAGGCCTGTGTGCAAGATGGCATTATGGTTCACCAGCAAAACCCTACTCAGAAGTAGAACTATTTCTCAAACATTTGGTGAGGTAAGGATTTCTTAGGGCAATATCTTTTATTGGACCAACTGTAGCTGGAAGAGAGTTAGATAAGCTTTTAAAAGCAAGACATTCTTCATTAGGAATAGGCGATTTGGTTTGTGCAGAGAGAACACAAAAGGCTGTCTTCTTTTGTATTCTTTGCACAAGTGCAATGTACAATTAAAATCCCTGCATGCTCCTAATTACAGGGGCTGCTGCTTCAAGCATCTACAGAAGGAACAAAGAGGAAGTAGGGTGTTGACTAGTGCACATTGTACTTGTCTCAAGTTTAGTGGTGCAGAATATGCATTTCTCCTTGGCTTGGCAAAGTACTCATGGGTTTGATGAAATATCACTGAAGCTGATGGAGGTAACTCCTATTCTTCCTCTAAAAGAGAGGTGTGAGAAACAAATGAGCTCCTTAATGATACAGTAAGGATCTTTGTCCAAAATTTATGCACATCACTACTCATAACAAAAGTGCATATGAAACTGCTAGAGTGTATTTGTAGAATGAGAAGGAAGAGAAACACCAGAGAAAACAAGATCTGCAGGGTAAGAAGCTCCAGCCACAACCAGAACAAGCACTGATCATAGCCCTGAGAAAAAATGTTAAGAGAGCTTTGAGTCCGGTGTTGTCTGAAAGAAACTTGAAGCTGTGACCAAAGAAACTACTCTACCTCCTGTGTTGAGGAAAACCGAGTTTTGTACACTTGTTGTAAATAACCAGGATTGTATCAAAGATACCTGACTACTTCAACATCTCCACCTACTGGAAAATACCAGCAGAGCCCTGAATTTTGGCCAACCACTTGGATCAATGTATTATGTTCTGCTTTTAAAAGTTACTTGTTACTAAGGTCTTACTGACTCTTTTTGTTGAGGACAAAGTTATGGTGCACTCAACGACAGATAAAAATACTTAATGTTTGCAGAAAAGGAGTAGAAAAATTGGATAAATAAATAGATTAAGTTTCAAAGTAATCCCACAGTTACTGGTTATTAAATCTTATCTTCCCAGATACATTTTCCTCTCATTTCTCTCCCAAATGACCACTTTTTACAAACTTCCTCCTGAGCACCTACCTGTGCAAGGGAAAAATGAGATAAAGTGAACTCCTATACACCAAGGGCCATCTAGTGCCCTCATATTTTGGTCTGCTACTTCATGTGTTAAGTGCAGGGCCCTTTGGACAAAAGATTGCCTTCCTCATTACTCTCACTTGTGAGCCTAACTGCCTTTTAACTTTCTCTCTCTCTCCAGCAAACTGCTGGGTGGTGGGATTGAAAGCATGGCTATCACAGAGGCCTTTGGTGGTGAGTAAACCATACTAAACTGCTTTATGGAGTGAATTATCAATAGAGAGCCACAGCACATGTTTCAATCTAATTTACTTGTTCTGAACTCTTATCACAGTATCTGTAAATATGGTGGTTCTGGCTCAAGTGTAATGGACAGTTCCTTTCAAAGTAAATGTTAGCAAAAAAGACCCATCTTTATGAGCATTCTAACCTTGTTCTTTTTCAGTTTTGACGGATGAGGACTGAGCTGGGCAGCTCTCACACTTGGAGGCCAGCTGGTTTAGTATATTCTACCACGAGAGTATACTAATATTCAGTAATATATACTAATAACAGTAATATACTGTAACTAAGTATTAGTCAGGAAACATGTTTCCACTGTGCTCTTCATTTCTTACCACTAATGAGACAAAACTTCATGGAGGATTTTGCTACTTGTACATACTGTGTATGTGCATATTCTCAGAAAATAACCAAAACAAAATTCAGTCCACAACAGGAGTGCACTACTGTGACTCAAAGAGGTGTTTGCACCCACCTCTGTATTCACTAGCATTACTACAGCAATAGCATACAAGATATAGCAATAAATCTTTTAGCATGGCTACCCAGATATAGGATTTGTGTCATTTGATGCTAGCATACAAACAACAAGATGTGGGTAAATCATTCAGTAACCCTCATATAAGGTTTAGAAATCACAAATAAGTTATTATTACAGTAAAAGTTAATGTGTTGGGGCCAAACACCTAAAGACCAATGACCACATTTATCAAATGATATGTAGTCGTCCCTTTTGAAAGTGTTTATGAGGCTTGAATAATTTGATACAGTGAGATTTCTCTAGACATAATTAATTAAAGCATCCTGGTCAACTTGACATCTTGCTAAAATGAATTTAAAGTGTCACACCTTCCCTTAAGTCTCACTTCTAATTTTTAGGAATTTAGAAAACCATTTTAAAATGATTTTCTCTCCTTTGGAGTAAATTATAGTGATACAGTTTTGTAGTGGCATACTGCTTTGAATGCAAAAGAAGTGAGATATGGGATTTCTGTCGCAGCTTCTTTTATTGGAATTCATTTACTGAATAGTAAGTTACCACATTGATGGGTCTGGTCAGTGGAATTAATCCAAAACTCTCAAATAATAAAATCAGCACTTGTCCATAACTGTCATAGAGAAGTAGGTTTGGAAGGGACCTGCAGGGCTAGGGACAGACATTACATATAAACCATTTTTAAGTGATCAGAAACTGGTTTAAACCTGTAACAGAACAGATGTTCAGTGCACATAAACCAGTTTGAAAATGGCTGAAACCGGTCTGAGATAAACCCGGTTAAGTGTAGACTTAACCAAATCAGACTTAACTGATTTGGTTCACACCGGTTTATGTAATGTCTGTCTCAGACCCTTTGCTGGTTTAAGTTAAATCAGAGTCCCTCAGCATCCTGGCATGCTCTCTGGGCTGGGCAGGGCTCTCTGCTCCACAACAGGGCTGGCCCCTCCCCTTCACTCCCTGGCTGGAGCTTGGCACAGATGTCCAGGCACAGCAGGGTTTACTGGCTTCCCTGTGCCCCGCTCTCCCCACCCTCTCACCATTTGCTGCTTAAGCAGAAATCCCTTCCTCCTCTCTGCCACAGCATGGACCGTAGCCAGCATGTGGTATGCTAGCTAATGCTGAGAGTTGTCTGTGTGCGTCTTTCTCTCCAATTTCACTGGGACAGGCAAACAGAACAGTGATCGCTTAGGGCTTTTGGAGCTAATCAACAGGTCAGCCAGTAAGCTGTTTAAGAAATTTGAAGTAATGTGGAGAGAGGCTATTGTTTTGCTAATCGAGTGATAAAAGCTATTAGCAGCCCCTTGGCTGGCTTGCTTGCTTGCCTGTCAGTTTGCTGCAGACAGTATGACAAAGCAGGGAGGGAGACTGAAAAGCTCTGTATAATTAACAGATGCATGCACTGCTCACCCCACTTTGCCTCAGAGTGTTAGCCTGGGGCTGGGGGCTGGCAACACTCCCGTTCCTTGAGTAGCCAGTGGGGAAAAGCCTGCGACCGTGTAGGCAGACATCCCTAATGAAAAAGTCCTGGGGCCTGGCCATGCCCCCACTCAGCTCAGCTCCCTGCAGAAGGGAAGGGAGGGCTGCTCTAGCGCTCCCCAGCTTCTAGCCTGAGCCACTGCAGGCATGTGCCTGAATTTCCTCAGTCCAGAGAGAATGTCTATCCAGTTTCAAACCAGTTCAGCCTAGTCAAGTTAGACTAACCTGCAAAGACTGAATCAAGCTCAGGCTTTTTGAATGTCTGTCCCTATGTCATCTAGTCCAACGTCCTAGTATATTTAACTCAACAAGGATGGCAGCCACTGTAGACAAATAGATGTGAGCTCAGTTTAAAATCTCTCAGGTATAACACTTTTCACAGTGCAATATCTCCAACACCCACTTTTCATATAGGTATTATATGTGCATTATATGAATTATGAGTTGGGGCTGAAAAACAGAAAAACCCACATGGATGATTAAAGTTTTATAAATGAGAGAGCATTCTTATTGCAATAACTTAGGATTTGGCAAACCGCAAAAACCTTTTCTCCCTTTTTTGTTTTAATCTTTAACAGAATTCCGAACAGGTAAAACCCAACTTTCCCACACTCTATGTGGTAGGTACACAGTCTTAATATTGATAATTTTATTCCTATGTAACCTCATTCAGCTAAGAGCTTTATGGAAATCTCAGGCTTTGATCTTTAAAAGGAGAATTGTACCAAGCTAGTAAATAGTATTTAGGAACTAACACAAGACTGTAAATAAGTCTTTAGGATATATGAGAGAAACAGCCTGTCCCAGGAAAGTGGAAGTATGACATATCTCTAGAAATGTAGATTTAAATTACTATTATATCTATTAATTCATATAAAGATGAATAGGAAAGTTGTTTCTTATTTTGCTATTATTTTAGATTTCAGAACTTGTTGATGGCATTAACTGTTCACATAAATTCAAAATGCCGTGGAGACAGAGTTCCCAGCTGAAATAGAGATGAACTAATAAATACATAATTACCATCACAAATTCCCGAAAAATAGGAAAGATAGAGTTAAGATTGCTGCAATCATAACTCTGACTCCCTCCATACTTGCATGCAGAGAGTTATCTGCGTGCAACCAAGTTAAGTGTGCCATATGTATCTCTATTAAATGAGGGACAGAGTAACTGGAGTTTAGCACAGCTGCGATAGTGAGATGACACAACTGGAGAGGCCCTGCTCCTCAAGAAAGGGTTTTTGCCTCTTTCAGTACATCTCCCATATGTCTAATCAAGGGAAAGAATCATATTTACTTAGGCCTGTGCGAAGCAGCTAGTATTCTCTTCAGATTCAGATTTGGCTGATTCGGGGGACAGTGATTAGATCTGGTGATTCGAATCACTGTCCTGAATTGCTTCGGCTGAATCTGATTCAAAGATTTGGCCTCAGCCGAATTGGCTGAATCTCCGAATCAGCCCCATCCCCTGTCCGCTCTCAAAGGCTGCCCAGCTCACTCACCCAGCCCTTTAAAAAAAAGCCCACACACACTGGCTGGTGCCAGGTAGGGCGGCGATCCCTGCTGCTCCCCACTACCCCATGCCACGTGGAGGGCTCTGTCATGAGATCCCCGACCTCTGCCTGCCCTCCCAGCCCTCACCATGGCTGCCCCACCCATTCCAGCTCCCAACCCTTTGCAAAAAAGAAAAAAAAAGGCTTGACTCACCAGCTTCTGCCAGGCAGGGGGTGGGGGTGTGTGATTCCCACTGCCCTACGCTGCCTGGGGTGCTCTGTCACGAGCCTCCAGAAGCGCTGAGGCTGCTGCAGCAGCCGGAGAGTCTGGATTTTTTGGGGTTTTTTTAAAGGGCCAGAAGCTGGGGTGTGCAGGGCAGCCATGGGGTGGGGTGGGGCTGGGAGAGCAGGCCAGGGTCAGGGTGCTTGTAGCAGAGCCCCCCATGTGGCATGGGGTAGCAGGGATTGCCCCCTCACCCAGTAACAGCCACCGAGTTCAGGCTTTTATTTAAAGAACCGGGAGCTGGTGCTGAGCAGGACAGCCATGGAGGTGGCTGGGGGAGCAGGCAGGGGATGGGGCCGGGCAGGGGTCCCCCCATGGTTCAATTCCCCCTACTCCAGCCCCTACTCCCCCACCCCCTACTTACTGGCATGGAGTCCAGGTCCAGTTCCCTGCTGCAGCAAGCAGGGACTGCCCGAATCGCCAAAGCTCTCCGGATCTTTTCCGAATCGATTTAATTGGTCTCCTGATTTGATTCAGATTCGGAGATTCGGCCACCAAATTGGGCCAAATCTCTGAATCAAATCAGCACCTGAAGCTTTGCACAGCCCTAATATTTACCTGTAGGGATCCAATATGTCTTGTTTCAGTGATGAGTTCTGAGTGCAGGTGGTTTCATTACTAGAGTACATCAGTCTTCCTGGTGTAGGGATGACCAGCAATGAGATGAGATGTGAAGGGGTACTGTGGGTTTCATGATAGGTAAGTGAAAATACAGTATTGGATGTAATCCTGTAGGTAAGGATGTAGGGGCTGTAAAATGATGGAAGTTGTAAAATGTAACAACTGTGGAATAGCAGCTGTATGTTTTCTGAGGTAGAACAGATGTAAGTAGCTTCTGTTTGATGCAGCATGCTTAAGCACGAGTTTTGCCTCAGCAAACAGGAAGTGGTAGACATCGCCCTACAATACTCACATGCCCTTGCACTGAATGAGATGCTCTGTTTGGAAAGACAGAGTGCAAGTTTGTGTGCTCTGCTTGGATTGGTGCATCACTCAAAGAGCACAGAATTGATTCTGTGTTCATATATTTTAATTCTATTTATCCTAGTTTTCAGAAGTTTGATTTTTTGCTGGGCCATAACATTTTGGAAGGCATGATACACCACTGTGCAATGTTAACTCAGCATTAATTAAGATTTTCGTCACTATAACTGTGTGGTGCCAAGTACAATCCTGGGTGGTTAGTGCTATCACAGCACAAGTATCTAATTGTAGGGGTAAGTGAGACTAGAGGGGTATCTGACCTGCCATGGATTTGGAAGTATCTGAAGTCCCAGGCTGAAGAGTCTGGGACGGAGGTTACCTACCAGTGGTAGCTTGAACAATCAAGTTCTGCTCAGTTGATGGAATTCGAAACTGATTTGGCTAGTCTGGGGGGTAGAATACTTGCTGGTGGTAGTGCCACACAGACTTGAATGATTGAACGCTGCTCAGATGAAATTTGGAACTTAATTCAGAACTGATTTGACCCTGGAAACAAAATGTTAATATTTTTTTAAGTTGTTAATAGTTATGGCCTGGAGGCTCTGGGGTTCAGATGCCCCCTAGTCTTGTTTGCTCCTAGCTGCAAGGCAGGGGAAAGCATACATGCAGTCCCCTATTATCACACAATTGAAGCCTACAGAGGTGTGCACTAGGCAACCAAATCTCCGAATCTGAATCAAATTGGGAGACCTATTAAAAGGTCCAAATCAATTTGGGAAAGATTTGGAAAGATTCAGAGATTCAGAAGGCAGACATGCAGGAAACAGAAACTGAGAAGAGGGAGGGAGAGGAGCTGGGGGTGGGGGGAAGACTGCTTTGATATTGACATCTGTAGCTGGTCAGTGACTGTGATCTTTCCCTGAGTTCCCTTCCAATCACAGTGCTCTGGGGGAGGGACATAGAAACAAAGTATAAGGCTGTGTCTGAAGTGATCTGTGCCTTTTGTAATCTGTCTTTCTTGGACCAGCAGCATTTGAAAGGCTCTGGCTTGCTATCTAGTCTCTTGGTAGCAAGCTAGTCTCTCTTCTTCTGTGTTTTCCTTGACAGTGTCATCACTGTGCACTGCAGAAAAGCACAACATATATTACAGACACATACACATTTTGCAGCACACCAAGCTTTATGAAGCGTGCTGGAAAGGCAGGTGCCAGGTTTTCTGACGGGGAGGGGGAGGCGGCAGAGGGAGAGCTGCAAGTTCCACCCCCCACACCCAAACATAGACACACCTTCTTTCCTGACAGCGATGAGTCTTCTGTTGCTAGTGGGAGCAAGGAGGTGGGAGCAGTGTCTGCACCTACACCACCTTCACTAACACTAGCAATAACCACCAGCACCAGCATGACAGTCTTCACCCCAATTTCAGTTCCCAGCATAAGCCTTCCAGTGCCAGAAGAGGAGCTGGATCTGGAAGCAGCAGAGCTGAGTGCTATAGCAAAGGAAATTCTGGGGAAGGAGGGGGACTCTGAGTTTGTGCTCCACACCCCTCAAAGTTCCCTTAGAGGCAGGTCTCTTCTGGAAGGAACTTCAGAGGAGATTGTGGGGGCAGGTGGCTCAGCTCCTCCTGTTGTTGTGCCTCTGCCTGGTGAGGAGGGGGATAAGGCAGGATCCTCACCCGCAACCCAGAAGCAGGTGGGTAGTTTAGCATGAGATCATTTTGAGGTGGCAGATGATCTCAGGTATGCTACCTGCCAGCACTGCCGAAAGCCAATCAGCCAAGGCAAGGACGAGAAACACTTCACTACCACAGCGACACTGCTGCATCTCAGGAGGCAGCACCCCCTTGCCCTTGTTCCTCCTCAGCCTGGCACCAGTGGGAGTGTGCCCAAAAATAAGTCCCCCTCTCACTCCAAAGCTCCTGTCCCCAAGCAGCAGAGGCAGACCACCCTGGACCAGTGGGGGAAAGGTGGAGACAAAGGGAAGCACTTTCCCAAGGTGAGCGAGGTCACTCAAAGCATTGGGGAGATGCTTGCTCTGGATGGCCAGCCCTTGTCCTTTGTTCAGGCGGCTCATGGCCCCATCCTACCAAGTACCCTCATGCACCACCTTCAGCATGGTGCTGCCCTCCTTGTATCAGGCATGCAGGGAGTACTTGAGGGAGGAGCTGTGGAAGGCAGGGCTGCAGGTAGCTTTGCACTTCACCTTGGACATCTGGAGCAGCTGGAGTGGAGATCATGCCTATCTCTCCTTCACAGGGCACTGGTGCGATCAGTCAGGCCGTCGGTGGGCTCTCCTTCAAGCGGAAGTGATGGATGAGTCCCATACGGCAAGGAAGATCATGGTGGCCATGAACCACATGGTGCAGGGGTGGCTCGTTGGGCAGTGCGAGCTCACCCATGGGTTTGTGGTCATCAACAACAGGGCCAATATGGTGAAGGCGGTGCGTGATGCCAACTTTGTTGGCATCCACAGTGTGGCACACAAGTTCCACCTCATAGTCAGGGACACCTTGGAGGGGGACAGGGCTTCTGGTGATGGTGCTGTCACTACCACTACCAGCCAGCTCATTTCAAAATGCAGGAAGGTGGTGGGCTACTTTCACTGGAGCATCAAGGGGGGCAAGATGCTGCAGGACAAAGAGGCAGAGCTGAGCATCCCACAGCACAAATCATGCAGGATGTGGAGACTCGGTGGAACTCTACATACCCGATGCTCGAAAGGCTGGTCAAGCAATAGAAGGCAATCCATGAGATGAGATGACATTGAGATCAGCGGTCCCCTTAACAAAACAGAGTGTGATACCATTTCCCAGATCTTGGTGGTCCTCAAGCTGTTCCTTGAGGCCTGCCAGGGCCTCAGTGCTGGCAATGCCCTCCTTAGCCAGGTGATCCCCATAGTGAAGGAGCTTGAGAATCAAATGGAGAACTTCCAGGGGATTAATGTTCCTGGATGGGGCAAGCCACTTCCCCCAGAGGTGCAGGCACCGATGAAGCGGCTGAAGCAGGGCATCAAGAAACGGCTGGATCTGTTGCAGTCCAGTACGGCCCACATGCTGGTGGGCATGTGCGACCCAAGGGTGAAGGGGAGCATCTGCAGCAGCAAAACCCTTGATCATTGGACAGAGGTGCTAGTGAACAGAGTCAGGGAGGCAGAAGGGCAGAGGCAGGGGAACATGGAAGAGGGAAATCCACTTTCCCCTGCCAGCACTCCC